GGGGGGAGGGGACATTAGAGTGTAAGCTCCTCTGTACAGAGACTGATGTGACTGTGGGGGGAGGGGACATTAGAGTGTAAGCTCCTCTGGTGCAGATGGATGTGATTGGTCCTCGATGATATTTGTAGTTCCCTGCAGACTATCTCGCTGTGCTCAGCTCAGGATCGGGGGATGGGAGGTCTGCTGATCGTTGTCCTTGGTTCCCTTGCAGCGGACTCGGAGGCGGCGGAGGTGCAGCGGGAACACGTCCAGCAGATGGCGCAGCTCCAGGCTGATATTGAAATGCTCAGACGGGATGTCAGCAGGATGCCTCCGCGAGGGGTGCAGGGACCCCCACCATTCCAACCTCCCCCCATCCCCCCGCCCCAATCACTGCACCCCAACAGGCAGCCCATTGGGAGACCCGAGCCAGCTGTAATGATGGGGGCGCAGGTGAGTCACCCCATTATATTAATCATTATCTGAGCCTCTATGATTGACAGAACTGAAATCCAATCAATGAAAGGGGCGGGGCCAGGGATAGTCAGGCTGGGCAGGAAAGTTCTAAGTGATGCTGGACGTCCTCCTTCCAGGAAATGAGGCGGAAGTTTTATTCCCCATCATAGTGACATCACAGGCAGGATTCTCCCGCATGACCCCAGGGACCCGCATGACCTCAAGGACCCGCATGACCCCAGGGACCCGCATGACCCCAGGGACCCGCATGACCTCAAGGACCCGCATGACCCCAGGGACCCGCATGACCTCAAGGACCCGCATGACCCCAGGGACCCGCATGATTCTTTGGCATTTTCAGGATTCGATGCGTCCTCCGAGCCCGGCCGGGAACAGACATGTACTGGAGCCCCTGGATGCTCTGGGACCAGCGCCCTACGATCCCGTGTGAGGGAACTTCTCTGTCTAATGGTTTTTTAAAAAAGTCTTTTAAACCAGAAAATATATCTGCTCCGGTCCTCTGTCCGCCTCCTTCTCTTCCACGATCGCTTGCGGGCCCCGCCTCCTCCATAACTGGCCCCACCTCTCCCACCGCTAAGCCTCGCCTCCTCGATCGCTGGGCCCCGCCTCCTCCGAAGCTGCTGGCTGTCACATGGCGGCTGTGAGGAGGAACGCGCCGTTTGCACATGTGAATAGCGGCCCGTTCCTCCTCACAGCCGCCATGTGACAGCCAGCAGCCTGAGATGCCATAGCAACCCAAGCGGCCCACATAGCATCAAAGGTATGTCCTGGCCGGGCCCCCCTGTGCCCCGGGCCCCATAGCGGCTGCCTGGGTAGCTATGGTGATTGTTACGCCGCTGTCTGGATAATGATACTCTTGGGCCGGAGGGTCGTGCTTGCTGCATCCTTTGTGATTGGAATCCAGTGTAAGTTGGGAGCAATGCCCGCAGAGACTGTAAATCCAGGGACAGTAGGGATCCCTGGCCTGCCCGGGGGCCCCCGAGCCGTGGGTCACATGATGTCTATCCTCGTCTTCCTTCGCAGGGCCGGCTTTGTCATCTTCTACGACTTCCTCCTGGGACTGGACCCGACCTTCCAGAAGGTGCGCCTGCTGAGCGGCCTGTACAGCAACGGGCACCGCATGGGCCATTCGTCCTCCCTCCCGGATGTCCTGTGTGAGGTGTGGAACTCCCCCCAGCACGTGGCAAATGTCCCCCGAGGAAACGTCGCCATGTTGTCTGCCAGACAGCCCATACCCAGGTACTGCCCGACCCGGCTCGGCCCATTAATGGGTCATTATCCCAATATGAGGGACACAGAACTTCTTGTATTTGCCACATGTATGAAGTCCGGGGACCCCTGTGCTGGGCTGCATGACCTATAGGGCAGGGGTAGCCAAACTCCGCCCTCCAGCTGCGGTGGAACTACAAATCCCATGAGGCATTGCAAGATTCTCACAGACATGACTCCCGGAGAGAGATGCATCATGGGATTTGTAGTTCCATCGCAACTGGAGGGCCCGAGTTTTGCCACCCCTGCTATAGGGGGTGACAGCAGAACCTGCAGCCTCTGCCCCTCTTCCTCCTCCTGCTATATGATCTATTGATGACATCACCCTGAGCTCCTGCCCACTTGTGAGGCCCCTCCCATCCCTCATCATACAGAGCAGTCACCCCCCACCCCCACTGCAAGCCCAATTTTACCTTTCAGCTGGAAAGCAGTATAAAGAGTTAATGGGCTAAAACGAATAGATATTTCCAGGTTCCGGGCTCTGCACCCCCCACCTCGGCCCTTATGAGGGACCCCCCTCCATTCCTGCTGGATTCCCAGTTGTTTCATTTACATATTATAAAGCCAACTATTGCAGCACATGGAGTGAGACTTCAACTGACCAGCAGATGTGATGCACGCAGCGTGATAGTCCAGCAAATACTTCTTCATGCCGTGACGGGGGGGGGGGGGGGGACCGG